GGGGATGGAGTGGGGGGGATGGGGAGCAGTGAGGGGCCTGGGGAGGTGTTGGGGGATGGAGTGGGGGGGGTGGGGAGCAGTGAGGGGCCTGGGGAGGTGTTGGGGGATGGAGTGGGGTGGCTGGGGGACCCTGGGAGGGATGGGGAGCAGTGAGGGCCCTGGGGGTGGGGAGCAGTGAGGGCCGGGGGGGGGAGAAATCAAGGTTCTGGCTCACAAATCTTCAGTCCTGCCCCTTCCCTCCCCCCACACACCTCATCTCCCTGAACACCCTTTTTGTGACGTGCAGAGGAAAGGTGGGGGGTGGACATTGCCCCCCAGGGGCTGTCCCCTCAATACTGTGTGGGGAAGGGAAGGTGGGTGTGGACAGTGACCCTTCTCCTCTGTGCTTGGAGGTATGTGTAACAGGGTTGACACCCCCCCCCCTTGGAAGTGCCCCCTTCTGGCTGGGCGTGTCTGCGTTCTTTTGGTCTGGAGACCCCTTTCAGTGGTTCTCAGGTGCATTTTGAATGACTCAGCCCTCCCTCCAGCCAAGTGACACTGCATGTTAGCCAGCATAAACCCTTTCTGGGGTATACAGTCCATGGGGGCCTGTCTCTCTCTAGCCCTCCTTGGGCTTTAGGCTTAAATAGGCCAGCCCTGGTATGGGGCCATATCCCCAAGACTTCCTCCCTGGAGACGCTAGCTTTCTGTAGCCCTCCTCAGGCTCACTCCCTAGCAGCCAGCCAGGAGCCCCCCAGTCTCTGCCAGCAGACTTGGTTGTCCGTGGTCCTGCTGCTTGGCCAGGCCTGCAGTATGTTCTTCTCCTGCTCTATGCAGCAACTAACTACTGCTCTGGTCGGCAGCTCCTTTTATATGGCCCTCCGGGGCCCTGATTGGCTGCTTCCCCCTGCAGCCACTCTAGGCTGCTTGGAGAACCTCTCTACTGCTCCTTGCCTGGGATGGATGTGGCAGACCCCTGAGGCCTCCTGCAGGGGGCCTTTGGGCGTAGTCCACCCCATCACAATATGACTGTGATCCAATATTGGATTTTATTTGCCCATCTACCTGACTAGAATGTACAGTTGGTGGGTGTGTACAGTTTTGCAAGGTTGGTTAACTAACTTCCACTTTTCCTGCTCTTTTCATGTGGTTCCACTTGCCAAGAATGAAAGGTGAATTTTTCCAACATAGCTACATTTCATCCTGTACTGTGAACTTTCTGAGATTTAGGATTTTTTCCCCCTCTTAGATTCCGATCTTCTGCAGTAAAAGAGTGCATCCATGCGATACTGAAAGAGAATCTAGCCAATGTGCAATACAACCCAGAGGAAACGCCAGAGCTCACACGGTCCTTATCAGAGACAATTAAAGATAGACTGAAAGGTAATGAGGATTGGTGAGGAAACTGCCTCTTTCCTTACTTAATTTGTTCTTTTCTTTTTGCAAGTATTGATTCTCTTCTCTATTCTTTAAAACTCCTCGTTCACTGATGACTGACCACAACCCAATATTATTTAATAAACTAGTATATATGTACATGGTGCTTCACAACTTGGTCTCAGCCCTCAGGATCTTAACATTTAATTCAGACCAATCTGATTACATACAGACCCACTGGTGAGAGAGATCAGCTTAGGAAGTATCATGGAAGAAGTAGAATGCATGGAGCCTGGGGAACATAGGAAGAAGGGGCATAACTGAGAGCTGGAGAGAGAGACCAGGACCTGATTCTGACCTCGCTTCCATAAATGGAATTACTCCTGGGTCAGCCTGATGTAAATGAGATCAGAATCAGGTCCAAAGGGACCACCCTGGGAGTCAGACTCATTGGGAGCAGCTGAGGGAGAGGTAAGAGACTAGGGAGCAAGAGGCTGTGGGTCATGACATGGTCATGTACTGATGGCATGTTGCATCATGGCTAGGGTTACCATATTTCCACAATCAAAAAAGAGGACGGGGGGAGCCCTGCTCTAGCCCCGCCCCGCCCTGCCCCACCCCCATCCACTCCCTCCCACTTCCCACCCCCTGACTGCCCCCCTCAGAACACCCAAACCCCCCCGCTCCTTGTCCCCTGACTTGCCCCCTCCTGGGAACGCCATGCCACTAACTGCCCCCTAGGACCCCACCCCCTATCCTAAGCCTCCCT